GTCTAACGTACGTAACGGACGGTAACGGTAGGTACGTCGTACGTACGTAGTAGGAGAGTAGTATATATATATATATATATATATATATATATATATATATATATATATATATATATATATATATTATATCCCCTCCTGGAGATTTCTAGAGCAGCAGTCCCCATCTTAGATGTACATACCATTCCTTCTGCCTGTGTCAGAACTTCCCCAGACACTTCCCTCGGATGGCGGTGGGTGGGGCAAACTTTTCTTCTTAATTGAAGAGGAAACAAGCCACAAAGCTTATAGAAGTCCCCTCAAGAACGCATCTCGCTCATTTTACCGGAGGTTTGGGAAGCACTCCAGGCCAAATCAGTCCCTGGAAATCCATCCAAGAGGAGTTAAAATAGAAGGTCAAGCAGGGTGCAAATTGTTACATTTAACAGAGGGCAGGTTGGCAGGAGGTATTGAAATTGACGCCTTCCGAATTCCACTTCTCCTAAGGAAGCCCAAAATTGTGGCTCTGGAGATGTTCGTCCGGTCAACATTTATAAACATGAGAAGGGGGAGTGACCTAGATGCCCATCAACAGGAGACTGATGATGACTGCTGGTTAAAGAAAGAGGCTGTATGTTAATTCAGATATTACTTCTGGGGAGGAGAATTGGTTGAGGAGGAAACTTAATGCGTATTAACAGAAAAAGGTTAAATGCATATTGCTAAGTGAATGAAGCCAGTCTGAAAGGGCTCTGTACTGTGTGCCTGTACTGTACCATGCATCCTGGAAAAGACAAACCTATACAGAGAGTAAAAACATCAGTGGTTACCAGGGATTGGGGGTGGGGGCAGGGAGGAATAGTGGTAAGCATGGGGGGTGTTGAGGGCAGTGAAACTGTCCCCTGTGATACTGTACTGGCCCATCTAGGACACTGTGCATTTGCCAAGACCTGTAGAATGTACACCACCAAGAGTGAGCCCCTAATGTGGACTATGGACTTTAGTTAATAGTAATGTATCAGTACTGGTTCATCACTTGTTGCAAGTGTACCACACCAATGCAAGATGTTAATAATAAAGCCAACTAGGAGCTGGGAGAGAGGAGATATGCGGGAACCCAACTTTCCATTCAATCTTCTGAACTTTTGTCCTTTTTTTTTTAATCACTCTGGGCAATTTTTTTTTTAATGGAGGAGCGAGGGATTGAACCCAGGACCTCACGCATGCTAGGTATGTGCTCTACCACTGAGCTATTTCCCTCCCCCTGTAAGCCTAAAACTTTGAAAAAATTAACTCTATTAATTAAAAATAAAAAAGCAGCGGAGGGAGGGGTAAATTAGGAGTTTGGAATTTGCAGATACAAACTACGATATATAAAGTAGATAAACAAGGTCCTACTGTACAGCACAGGGAACTATGGTCAATACCTTATAATAACCTATAATGAAAAAGGTTATGCATAT